GGGAAAAGGCACCAGCATAATATCATGGCAGGAATAAAAAGAAGGATCGTTGTCTGGCTTCTAAAGTTCGCGGGTGACACTAGGCTGACAGCTGTCTACAGTTTTTTGTGGTCAGTGGGAGCAAGTAGCAGAGATGGTGAAACCAGAGGGTGGCCTCTGGGCTCAGAGGAGGTGGCTAAGGGCACCACAGGGAGTGGGGGATAGAAAGGCAAATGCACACAAATGCTGAAAATGAGGAGCTGTGTCTTCCACATGTGATATGAAAAGCATCAGTGTGTTCTGCTTCCTAATCTTGTTGGGTGTAGCACACTTTATCTGACAACATTCTAGACAGTGTTTTTATAGTTCCCATTGCGAATCTGTGGTCTGATGTGACTGAGTATCTAGAGTGTCTGTCCACAGGGAGGTGGGCTCCTCTGGTTACTACAAGTGTGGACACCAGTGCCTCTGAGGCCTAAGGAAGACAACTTGCACCTGTGTAGGAAATGTAACAACCCCTGGGACATGGCACAGTTACAAAGACAGATCGTCCTGTTCTGGGAATGACTGTGACTCCACCCCCCTGTGAGGCACAGCAGCCATTATGAAACTCTGGGTCACCTGGATCTGGATTTTCCCCACTATTCTGTGCTGTGAGCATGACAAAATGTTGCTGTTTCTATCTGGGTGTAGTTCCAGAAATGTCTTTCTATGGGAGTTTGTTACAAAGTAAAAGTATCTGACTTGCAAGAATATGATTCTCTGTTTAGGGTTCACCTGTATGTTGTACAATAATTCCCTTTGCATTTTCCTTTGCACTTTTTTCTTAACTGGGAAACACCTTTATCCCTCAGAGTATTACAGAGGCAGCACATAATTGTCACCCTCCACATTTTGTTCTAGAATGCTGGGCTTATGGAAATCAGTGTTAGAACTGTGTGCGATTAAGCCTAATGAAATCGTAAAATCTTAAGAGAACCCATTGCCACTTATTTGACTACCAAGGAAAGAGAAAATAAGAGGTATTACCAGGGTTAAGGCAATTGCAAACCATGGGATTTTGTCAGATGATTTCCCAATCTCTATCCTTGAAGTCCCAGGATCCCACCCCAATACTTAGATCAGGATGTCTACTTTTCCTTGATTTCACATTGAAAACAGATACCTTCTCTCTGTGCAGAATATCCAAATGTATGCAATTAGATGGGTCCTTTTCTCCAGCTCATCTGTCCGATATTGTTTTCATTACTTGTTCATTCCAAGAAGAAACTGGAAAGGAAAAGGGAAGATCCCCCCTCCTCCAACCTCACCAAACTTATCTGCATGGGTCACAGTGTAAAATAAATATACAATGCACTAGATTACTAGAGGACACCCATGACCATCATCCATCATTTGTGATTCAAAGGCATCAGAAGGGAACAGGTAGAAAATAGTTACAAATCCACACATAATGAGGATCAAAGAAGGGAGTTTCCTGAGGAGCGAAACAGACCATTACAACGCGAAATAGATCACTACAACCCTCAGGACAGCTCTGCTCCTGCTAGAGAAAGGACAGTTGCCTGCCTTCCCAGTAGATAATCTGAGAGACCTACCCTCGACATGTGCTTGATAGGTACAATTCAAATGATTTTAACAAGGCAAGGAAAAGGAACAAGAAATATGTGGTTTCACTGAAGAGCACCCTTTGAAAAGTGCTGGACAGACAATGTGAGCATCTCTGCTTGTTAATATCCATCTTCTATACATTAATGCACACTTTCATGATTGCTGTGTACTTCATTCAACTCAGATGTTAAGGTGCCCCTTTGGAACTGTGTTAAGAGTTATCTGCAATGTAGACTAAATAGAATACTTTATCAAGATATCAACCAACTTGAAAATATGTGTTCAATAATGCAAATAAAAAGGAGCCTGACTGTCTGAGTCTTAGAAAAACTGCATTTCTAAGACTTTTTTCAAAAGTGATTCTCCTAGTTAGTCTCTCAGTTTACGCTATGTGAGCTGAAGGACATTGTCATATCCAGGGAACATGTGAGGGCGTTGCCACATGTTGAGGAAACAAAAATTAAGTAGCATAAAATGGAATCTAGTCAGACAGCTGACAAATTTGTGAAAATCGTCATGTAATCATTGCCCATTCCATTTCAAAGTAAAACAAAGCGCACATGCCTGACATCATCTGCTACACACAGAAGAACGTGCAAGCTGCACAGCTACCTGGGAGGCAAGAGTGACTGCAGATGCCTTTATTGGTTTATTGTATTCCTAGAGCTTATTTGCTGCAGCAGACGTTACCTTTTGATCGAAAGAAGGGAGTCAGCTTCCTTGAGGTCCAATATCATCCCCTATGAAATAAAAAATTATGACGTTGACCCCATTCAGATGATAGCAAAAGTTGGACAAATGGCATGTGTTCTTTCATTGGGTGTTGGCAGCATTTTACTCATGCTGAAAATCTGTGAATCTCTAAAGTGTGGGACAGAGCCCAGCTTAATGAAAAAGTGTGAAAGATAAGGTTTTCGCAGGTATGCATGTCGAATACATAATCCTGATCAGAGGCAATGTATGACAAAAGGACAACAGTTGATGAGAAGGCCCCAAGCAGATTGTGTCATTTGGAACAATACTGACTGAAAGATCTAAGTCTGAGTGTCTTGAGGTCTTGGGGCGGGTCCACGGAGTCACTGATCCTCCCCCTGTGCTGGCAGCTGGCTGAGTCCACCCTCTGTGAAGGACCTGCCAGTGGAGGACACTCGGGCATCTGGAGAAGGCCCATGAGGTTGTGCCAGGTCTGTGAGCAGGCTCTGGGTGGAGGGCTGCATGTGGGAGCCTCTGCCTGGGGTCTCCGAGCAGCCCTGGGACAGGGCTTGGTGTGTGTCTGTCAGGGGTCTCTGTGTGGGTGTCTGCCCAGGAGGGGCCCAGCACAGGCTTCAGGGAGAAACTGGCCAGAGCCGTTCTGTATCCCTCTGCCCGGTATCCTGGGTCCAGGTCCCACATGAGGGTCACTCACAGGTGCTGGGGGCAGGCCGAGCCCCCTCATGGGATGAGGAAACTAGTGGAAGGGGAACCCGAAATTGGGAGTGATGCCCTGAGCTGCGCCTACTGCCCCGTGCACGTGACACTGCAGGAATGTTCTATGTGTTTCTAGCATCCAGGAGCACAGGCAGTTAGGAGGCAACTGGGCCAGTGTAGCAGAAGCGCAGGGTCACCCTCGCCAGCACCCATTGGGACAGGTGTCTCAGGCCTGTTGTGACAGGTCCTGTCTGAGGGTCTCTTTCCACACTAGTCTCTGAAGTAAGCACACTAGAAGGCCAGAGATACTTGCCACGGATCCCAGGCCAGTCCCTCAGCCATTAAGGCCTCTCCTGTCTTCTGGGAGATGTGCTTGGTGGTGAATGAACCCCGTGAGACACTCCTAAGCTCCCCAGTCTCTTTCAGACTTCCTAGCAATCCTTTGAGAGGGTGAGAACCTTCCCTGCTTGAGCGCTTTGCTCCTCTGGGAACCTGACCTCCTCTGAGGAGCTGTAGGTGGCTCATCTGGTCTGGGCTCTGGTATTGGCCTCTGTGGGGGGACCCTTAGGGGACATGCTGGCCACTGACCCCTCATGTGTCCTTCCCACTCTGCTTGTAGCCAGAAGTAGTATGAGGAGGGCTGGGTCATCTGATTGTTTCTGAGCCACCCAGAGCCACTTTGTTCCCTGCGCCCACCTTCTACTCTGTTCACAGTGATCCACACTCAGAGGGGGACAGCAGTCTCTGTCCTGCTCCATTGTCCAGGAGGGTCAGTCCCTCCTCTGGGGCAGGTGGACATGGTCTTCAGCAGCTCCCTGCACTGCCACCACAACCCCGCTCAAACCCTCAATCCTTGTCATCAGGGAGAGAAGGGGCTCTGGCCAGGTGCCACCTATTCTCACAGACACATGGGGAGAGGTGTCTTCCGGTTATGGGCTTGGGGCCAGCATCCTCCACCCAAACTCCTTGCAGCCATCTCCCACACTAGCTTGAGAGGAATTTCAGACCCTGCACACCCATCCCCTCAAACAGCACCAGTTCCAGCAGAGAGAAAGCAGGAGATAATGGCTGACTTAGATACTGGCGTAGGTCTTAAGAAGTCTTGTTCATCTTGGCAAGTCTGCCTGCTTTCCTTTATTCTTTCAGTAGGGTGATGTGAAATCCTAGGGTGCACGGAGAGCCCATGGTGAGGACAGGGATGTCCCACAGCAGTCAGCCTCCCTCTGCAGTGCCTTCCCATGAAGTCAGAGAGGGCCCCCAGAAGAGGGAATCTATCCCCTGCCCATCTTCCGCATATGCTGTCACACATTTTAGGTGGTGTGGGGCTCTTCCTGGATCCCTGGTGTGGACGTGGGTACTCAGGTGACTTCTTCAGTGACTGGATTTAAGGGTTTCTACCCCAGCACAGACCTCTTGGAGCTCTCCGTCCTGCTATGTGACCTCTGCACATTGGGGTCCTAACTTGAAGTCCACTGTTGCCACGCTCTGGTAGGAGTCTGGTGAGGTGCAAACCTCACTCTCCTCCCTTGGCCATCAGTGGCCATAACTGAACTTGTGCTTGGCTTCTGGCTACCTCCCTCAACCCCCAGGACACTCCATCTGCACCAGAGCCAGCCCACCCAGAGGTATGTGAAGGCCTGAAAAATCACCCTTCTTTCCTGTCCAGCAGCAGGGCCCTCTGAGGCACTGTGGTACCACCAGGTAGGGTCCCTGCTTGAGCCTTCTGAGAGTCCTCACTGGCAGTGAGGGGGCTGGGAGGGAAGTCACCCAGGTGGGGGTGGGGACTGATTTTTTTTATTATCAAGCTCTCCCCCAAGGGATCAGGGGGTGGGATTCTCAAAGGCTTGATGAACTTGCCTTTTGAGCCAGACTCCCAATACACAGGTGGCTGGGCTGGAAAACACAGCCTGCAGAAAGGGTAGGGTTGAACCTTTTTCAGCTTGAAGAGATGAGAAACTTGAGTTGTGGGTGTGTGTGTTTTATTTTATTTTATTTATTTATATATATTTTACATCATTGCTCATTTTTATACAATGTTTACTTTTTTATCGATTGGTTTCACTTATAGGAGGAATACAGGGGAACCAAATAAGACATCAGGAGAACAAAATAATAACAACACAACACAACAAGACAAAAACGGATATTTATAAAGCAGAGAAGTCCTGCAGGAAGGGGGAGGGAGTGGGAGCAGGAGGCAGGGGGGAGGAGCACAGGGGACTATGGTGATGGTGCATAGGTGAATTGGTGGAGGAAATTCTATGGGGACTATGTCTGAGGAACTTGAGTATTTTGAGGGGTGAGAACCACCTGTGCCTAGCAAAAGCCTTAAAATATGCGTTTCCAGCAAGTTTTGAGAGAGTGGGCAGAGCGCTCTCCAGGGTGAGTTCTTGTTGGGTTCCTGGCCGGTGTTGGAGACCAGACGTCCAGGCCCTCACAAGCCCTGGACTATCGATAAAGCTGCAAGGCATGGCTGGTCCCCAGCCTGGAGCGATGGCCATCCACGGGGACCTGACCTTCTGGAATCTGCACGAACTTCCTAGCAAAATGGGCTCGCAGCTTGTTTTTTGCGTACTTCCGTGGGCACCTGGGTATGGGCCGCCTCATTCTTCTTTGAGGCAATGATCTTGGGGCCTGGGAGGCCCCAAAGACCTGAGAGATGATGGGGACTTCTTGCGATGTTTTCTGCATAGGGGCTGAAGTCCTGCTTTCTAGGTGCTTCTGAGAGAGGTGACTTTGAAGATTTTGAATCATTGTTGGCATGAAAGATGGCATGCTACCCGGGCTCGCTGGGCTAGATATCCCACGGTAGCCACTCTGGGCTGGTCGGGAAGTCGGTGGGATTGAACAGGAGGTTGTGACGTGGGCCTGGGTCTTGACCTGAGCCTGAGGTGCAGCCCATGGTTGGTTCCCAGAAGGAATCAAGTATTGGGGTTGGACCACAGGGGACTGGACCGAGGGCTGGGACAGAGGGTGATATGAAGCCTCTCCTGCACCTTGAATTGGCACAGGGAAAAAATTAGACAGTTGTCCCAACAGGACAGAGGGAGGTTCTTCTGGGGATACAGAGACCCTGACAGGTGCCTTTAGGGACTCACTATGCAGATTGTGGAGACTCGAAGGGAGCTGACCACCCTTCTGTAGGTGGTTCCCCCAAATCTCAGGATGTGTTGGATTTCTAGCACCCAGCAGCTGATCTTTCATGCTCCACAATGGTGGGCCACCCATGACATTCCCTGTGTCATGCAGGGACTTCAACATATTTCCCAGAGAATTTAGGTGACTTTCTGACCCCTCTGCCGCTTCTCTCTCCTTCCCAATTTCCAGCTTCACCCTCTCGCGGAATAGCACCTCCAGCAGCTTCCAGAGGTCAGAACTGGTGAAAGTCGGTTTACGATCCCCCACTTGGTGGTTTCTGGTATCTCTCCAAAATGGGACCCCTGGTGGGGGGCTGTGAAGGCACCCTCGCAGGGACTCAGGATGTGGTGAGTCTGAGAGTCTCACGGCTTTGGCAGCCCTTGAATCCCACCAGGACAGGTGGAAATGAGGACGGGTTGAGCGTCCTAAGCCTGTGATGGTTCGCACGGGAGAAGGCGGCCAACGGGCATGTGGAGAAGAGTGTGGGGCAGTGCCCGTTGGCAGTGACACTGACTCACACTGAGGCAGAGTCACACTAGAGCCTGGAGATGGGCTGCCAGCGGAGGCCATCAGAGTTGGAGGCCAGGCCTCTGAACCAGGGGGCACTGAGGGGCGCTGAGGTGATGGAGCAGGTGGTTGGGGGCAAAGGCTCTCCAGGGGAAGAGGAATGTCTGATGGCTCAGAGGTGGTCAGGTATGACTCTGAACTGTCAGAAATTGAGGAAAACATGGGTCCTGGTGAGTGGGTGGAGGCCAGAGGTAAGGAGTGGTTGGTTGGAGAAGCTGACAGGGACACGGCGGGAGTAGCATCTTCCACACAGTTCCATGGAGACTGGTTCCAAGGTCTGGCAGGTACTTCTTGCCACACCTTGCCTGGGGGGTCGTGACCTAGGGGCTGATGGCAGCTGCCCTTTTCAGGGTGCATCCTCAGGCGGCTGCACAAGATAGGAGGCACAAGCTACAGCCAAGAGCAGAGGGACTGGGAGGACCAGGCAGGCCAGGCAGGGTGGGCACCCACATCCCAGGTTTTCTCTACTGCCCCAGGCTGACCTCACAATGCCCCTGTACAACACCCCTGGGTTTTAACCATACTCTATCCCAGAGTTCACTGTCCCAGATTAACCCCAGAAAGCTGCCGCCCTGAAGTGCCACCCAGGCCTCTGGGTGAATGCAGGAGAGGAGGAAAGATTCTTTACCGTTGCAGAAGTAAAATCAGCCTTCGAGCCTCTTCCAGTTCTTGTAGGAAATCTTGGCAAGCTGGAAATCAGGACACCAGGTCCCATGGTGAAGGCAGGAACCCAGGGGCCTGGCGGGAGGCTGAGGGCCTGCCCTCTAGGAGATCTTTGGGGGCTTTGTCTCTAGAGTCCAAGGCCACCTATGCCTGACACTCAAGTCTCAGGATGGAGTGCCCTGTCATTTAGAAGGCCATTTCAATCTTGAGGCCTCCCAGAGGAATCTGAGCAGGTTAAACTACTTGTCACCAGGAGGACCCACATCCCTGGCCACCCACTGCTGGTCCACCCTTGCCGTCCGTCCCTGCCCGCAGCACACATTTCCTAGCCTGTCTCTGGGCCTGGAATCTGGGAGGTGTCAGGGCTCCAACTCATCCCAGGAGCCTCCCCCATGGCTCTGTGCCTGAGGGATGAGCCCTGGCATCCTTGAAACTGGGAGCAGGGACTCAGGGTCAGGAGAAATGTAGGTCAGGCTGACCTACAGCTACTCACCTTTCAAAGCTCCATGCTTCTTTCTGCTTCTGTTCCTCACCTTCAGCTCCTTTTGATGCTGAGAGGTGAGAAGAAATGGGCTGGGACCCATCTCTCACTGTCCTCTCTAGCTGCACACGGTCAGTGCACATGAGCGTGACTTTCCACATTTCTTTTCCCTCTCCTCATTTCTAAAGTGTTCCTTCCCGGAAGATCACAAAAAGGATCCTCTGTGTCAGACCCATCATGGGTCTCTCACTCTCTACCCAAGAAACACAAATCCTCAGACCTCCAGGTGCTGAGCTCCGTCAGGTCAGGTAGGACCTGCTTCCTGGGACCTGCGCTCTAATCCGTCCTGCCCAGAGGCTCCCAGAGTCTCTGCACAACCTCTCCCCGCCGCCCCCCTGCCCCATGAATCTCAGCTGAGGAGAAGCTGCCCCAGACACCGGCCACTGCATGGTACCTGGGAACAGTGGTCGGGAGCCTGGTCTCCCTCCAAGGTCACCCCTCTCAGGCACCCTGTCCCTGGGTGCCATTAGGGACTTTGCCCTGGAATCTCTACTGACCTGGACCCCTGGTCTGAGATCTTCAGATAGAAATCCTAGTGCCCACTCATACCCCTGCTGCCCTGGCTTGTTTCCAGAATAATTGTTTCTGACAAAATATGATCTATTCTCTCCCTTGCCAGGAGTCTCTCACATGACTGAGAAAGCAGATAAAACAGAAGAGAGAATCCTGTGGCACTGGGTCGGGCCCAAGGGCTTCTTACCTTCCTGGAGTTCCTGTCCCTCCGAGGTGGTGGTAAGGATGGAGTACTCTGGAGGCAGGCAAGTAGCAGGAAGTAGAGTCCCCACCCACACAGGAAGATGAAGATGGTATCCGTCACCCAGCCACTGCAGCTGAAGCTCAGCCCACAAGCCACAGCGCTCTTCAGAGACAAGAGATAATTCTCCATGGTCTGAATCGCACAGCTGCTCTTGAGCAACTGAGCCCTGGGAGTGCACTTGGGGCCTAAAAACCCAGGCCCTCATCATAGAGCTGGGACCTTGTCACAAAGGCTCCTGAGGACAAGGGGCTGCGAGTCAGAGGAGGAGACAAAATCCCAGCCCCTCCCTTAGTTTGCTCCACCCTCTGCTGACCCTTCAGTGCTGACCCTCACCCTATTGAGAGTCCTCGGTCACCTCACTAGTAATTCTACCTGCAACTCTGTTATTTTTTGGTTCCTTTGCCATCACTACTTGAGCTCCATCAATTTCATATCTTTGGAAAGTCTGGGGTTGTTTCTGGAATTATTACTTATGTCTCAGGGAACTATACTCTTAGGACACTGTCTGAAACACCAACTTTCCCCCATAATGTGTTTGTCTTTGCATCAACCCAAACACAGAATATAAATATCCTTTACATTTATTTGTGAATTTTGAGAAAAAAATAAAAGATTTTATTGCAATTAATCTCCACATTCTTTAACCAGAGAGGCTAATAGAAAATTGAATAATTGCCCAAACCTTACAAAGATAAAGACATATGAAATCAAAATAATTAAATCTTCTGTATACACATTCATAAGTTTCCAGAATTTTTGCTTCTGAAGTCAACAAAGGTTACACTGGAAATACTTGCCACACTCTGTACTCAAAGGCATGTGCGCATGCCCCCCTCAACACACACATCCTCTAAAACATCCTATAACTTCAAATAAGAGTCAAGCATTTCAGTTCAAAAGGCCTCCTGTAGTTACTCTTGTAAGTTGAACTGCTAGTTGCTCTTTGAATATCTCATCCTTATGAACCACATAAGTGATTGATCATGACATTATTGCAGTTCTGTTAAATGCAGCGGAGAACTGTACGATGTGAACCAAAGCAATGGTTCCCATGTGTGGACCACCTTGTGAGATCCACTTCTGGAGAATCTTTAAAATGCCTTTTTTATGTGACTCTGAGCTCTGACCCCTGGCCAGCCCCAGCTATGCCACTTTGGGGAGGCACTAGGTTAGAAAGAAGTGGACACAGGATAGTGGATGTGTTCACACTAACACTGATAAATGGGTTTTGTGAGATTACTTGACTATGCATAGGCATACGAAACATAACACACATGTATGTTATGTAAGTAACTTATCAATCTACTGATTTTTAATATTTTCATTATCTTTTAATAGAGTCCTTTGAACTTTCTACATATATTATCATGCCATCAGCAAATAGTGACAGTTTCATTTCTTTTCTAATTTGGATTCCTTTTGTGTATATCTCTTACTTAACTGCTCTGATTCAGCCAGCCAGTACTTTGTTGAATACCAGTGAAGAGAATGGATATATCTGTTATGTTCTTATTCTTAGGGGAAAACCTTTCAGGTTTTCATTACTGAGTTGTGGTTTTCTATATATGGACCTCATTGTGCTGAGTTATGTCCCTTTTATTCTCAATTTATTAGAAGATTTTAAATAAATAGGTGTGGAATCTTGTGAAATACTTTTTCAGTTTCTATTGAAAACACCATGTGAATTTTATCCTTCTTTTTGGTTATGGTGGTGAATGTCATTGCTTGCATAATGTATGATGAAACAACTTTGTATCTCTACAGTTAAATAAACTTAGTTATGAGGGATGATTCCCTTAACGCATTGCATGATTAATTCCCTAAGATTCTCCTGGGGACTATTGCATCTATGTTCATCACAGATATTGAACTATGTTTTTCATTTGTGCTGTCATTGTTTGGTTTTGAGATCAAGCTAATGTTGGCCTTATAAAAGCATTAATCTACAGACAATGCTTACATCTAATAAGATTAAAAAAAAAAAGACCCTCTTTTTGAATCATAGTTAAACTGTGGAAACACAAAGGGGTAGTTTGGAAAGTAGTCAGAGTAAAACTTCACTTCCAGGGGAAGAACAATGAGAATAATCAAACTTTTAATCAGAAACTTGGGTGGGAAGAATGAGATATTCAAGGAAAAAAAAATATCAGATGGTTTCACTTATAGGAGGGATACAGGGCAACCAAATAAGACACCAGGGGAAAAATAATAACAATACAAAACACAACAAAGCAAAAATGGAGAATTATAAATCAGAGACATACTGCAGGGGAAGAGGAGGGAGAGGGGTCAGAGGGAGGGAGGAGCACAGGGGACTGAGGTGATGGTGCACGGGTGAATTGGTGAAGGAAATTATATGGGACTACACCTGAGGCAGGGGGAACAAACATTGTTTAAAAATGAACAATAGGGCCTCCCCGGTGGCGCAGCGGTTGAGCGCTGGGTTGCGAAGCTGCCCGCGGCCTCTGCGGTGCCAGTTCGATCCCCAGGGGCTCCCCGGCCACCGGAGGAGGGTCCCACATGTCACGCAGACCTCTCCTGCCGCCCGCTGCTCCCCTCAGCAGTGTACTTCGGTCCTTCTGCCTGCTCTGCTCCCCGCTCTGGCTCTGGTGAATTCTCTCACCCTCCCGCACTTCTGACTGTACCCAGTGCATGCATAAACAAAACAAACAAACAAATAAAATAAATAAAACATGCCTCTATTAAAAAAAAAGTAAAAAAAATGAACAATAAATGTGAAAAATATATTAAAAATTTAAAAATTACTAAAAAGAAAAGAGTAAAGAACTGCTTGAAGTCCAACTTACAAGAATAATTACAGGAGCCTTTTTGAACTGAAATGCTTGACTCTTATTTGACATTACAGGATGACCCAGCCCTCATCCTACTGCTGGCTATAAGCAGAGTGGGAAGGACACATGAGGGGTCAGTGGCCAGCATGTCCCTTCAGGGTCCCCCCAGACAAGATGAGCCACCTGCAGCTCCTCAGAGGAGGTCAGGTTCCCAGAGGAGCAAAGCGCTCAAGCAGGGAAGGTTCTCACCCTCTCAAAGGACTGCTAGGAAGTCTGAAAGAGACTGGGGAGCTTAGGAGTGTCTCACAGGGTTCATTCACCACCAAGCACATCTCCCAGAAGACAGGAGAGGCCTTAATGGCTGAGGGACTGGCCTGGGATCCGTGGCAAGTATCTCTGGCCTTCTAGTGTGCTTACTTCAGAGACTAGTGTGGAAAGAGACCCTCAGACAGGACCTGTCACAACAGGCCTGAGACACCTGTCCCAATGGGTGCTGGTGAGGGTGACCCTGCGCTTCTGCTATACTGGCCCAGCTGCCTCCTAACTGCCTGTGCTCCTGGATGCTAGAAACACATAGAACATTCCTGCAGTGTCACGTGCACGGGGCAGTGGGCCCAGCTCGGGGCATCACTCCCAATTTCGGGTTCCCCTTCCACTAGTTTCCTCATCCCATGAGGGGGCTCGGCCTGCCCCCAGCACCTGTGAGTGACCCTCATGTGGGACCTGGACCCAGGATACCGGGCAGAGGGATACAGAACGGCTCTGGCCAGTTTCTCCCTGAAGCCTGTGCTGGGCCCCTCCTGGGCAGACACCCACACAGAGACCCCTGACAGACACACACCAAGCCCTGTCCCAGGGCTGCTCGGAGACCCCAGGCAGAGGCTCCCACATGCAGCCCTCCACCCAGAGCCTGTTCACAGACCTGGCACAACCTCATGGGCCTTCTCCAGATGCCCGAGTGTCCTCCACTGGCAGGTCCTTCACAGAAGGTGGACTCAGCCAGCTGCCAGCACAGGGGGAGGATCAGTGACTCCGTGGACCCGCCCCAAGACCTCAAGACACTCAGACTTAGATCTTTCAGTCAGTATTGTTCCAAATGACACAATCTGCTTGGGGCCTTCTCATCAACTGTTGTCCTTTTGTCATACATTGCCTCTGATCAGGATTATGTATTCGACATGCATACTTGCGAAAACCTTATCTTTCACACTTTTTCATTAAGCTGGGCTCTGTCCCACACTTTAGAGATTCACAGATTTTCAGCATGAGTAAAATGCTGCCAACACCCAATGAGAGAACACATGCCATTTGTCCAACTTTTGCTATCATCTGAATGGGGTCAACGTCATAATTTTTTATTTCATAGGGGATGATATTGGACCTCAAGGAAGCTGACTCCCTTCTTTCGATCAAAAGGTAACGTCTGCTGCAGCAAATAAGCTCTAGGAATACAATAAACCAATAAAGGCATCTGCAGTCACTCTTGCCTCCCAGGTAGCTGTGCAGCTTGCACGTTCTTCTGTGTGTAGCAGATGATGTCAGGCATGTGCGCTTTGTTTTACTTTGAAATGGAATGGGCAATGATTACATGACGATTTTCACAAATTTGTCAGCTGTCTGACTAGATTCCATTTTATGCTACTTAATTTTTGTTTCCTCAACATGTGGCAACGCCCTCACATGTTCCCTGGATATGACAATGTCCTTCAGCTCACATAGCGTAAACTGAGAGACTAACTAGGAGAATCACTTTTGAAAAAAGTCTTAGAAATGCAGTTTTTCTAAGACTCAGACAGTCAGACTCCTTTTTATTATTTGCATTATTGAACACATTGCTTCAAGTAGGTTGATAGCTTAATGAAGTATGTTATTTATTATACATTTCAGTTACCAAAGGGGGACCCTAACATTTGAGTTGAATAATGTACACAGAAATCATGAAAGTGTGTATTAATGTATAGAAGGTGGATATTACTAAGAAAAGATGCTCACATTGTCTATCCAGCACTTTCCAAAGGGTGCTCCTCAGTGAGAATACATATATCTTGTTACTTATAAGCAATTCCTTTTCCTTGCCTTGTTAAAATCATTTTAATGGCATTGGGACTATGTCAGAATAAAACATTTCTTAAAGCAAAAGACACCCTATCGAGTGGGAGGCAATACTGCACATCACATATCTGACAGGGGAGTAAGATTGTGGGTATACAAAGATCTCATGCAACAACAAGAAGAAAAGAAAAGAAACCAATTATCCAATCAAAAATGGGCAGAAGTGCTAAATAGTGATTTCTCCAGAAAGTATCAGAAACAGGAAACGGACATATGATAAAATGTTCATCATTATTTATCATTAGGGAAATGCAAATCAAGACCATGACAAG